GTTGCTGTTGCTGTTGCTGTTACTGTTACCGTTACTGCATGTTACTGTTATTGTTACTGCTACTGTTACTGTTATACTGTTATACTGTTACTGTTACTGTTACTGTTACTGTTGCTGTTACTGTTGCCGTTGCTGTTGCTGTTGCTGTTACTGTTACCGTTACTGCATGTTACTGTTATTGTTACTGCTACTGTTACTGTTATACTGTTATACTGTTACTGTTACTGTTACTGTTACTGTTGCTGTTACTGTTGCCGTTGCTGTTGCTGTTGCTGTTACTGTTACCGTTACTGCATGTTACTGTTATTGTTACTGCTACTGTTACTGTTATACTGTTATACTGTTACTGTTACTGTTACTGTTACTGTTGCTGTTACTGTTGCCGTTGCTGTTGCTGTTGCTGTTACTGTTACCGTTACTGCATGTTACTGTTATTGTTACTGCTACTGTTACTGTTATACTGTTATACTGTTACTGTTACTGTTACTGTTACTGTTGCTGTTACTGTTGCCGTTGCTGTTGCTGTTGCTGTTACTGTTACCGTTACTGCATGTTACTGTTATTGTTACTGCTACTGTTACTGTTATACTGTTATACTGTTACTGTTACTGTTACTGTTACTGTTGCTGTTACTGTTGCCGTTGCTGTTGCTGTTGCTGTTACTGTTACCGTTACTGCATGTTACTGTTATTGTTACTGCTACTGTTACTGTTATACTGTTATACTGTTACTGTTACTGTTACTGTTACTGTTGCTGTTACTGTTGCCGTTGCTGTTGCTGTTACTGTTACTGTTACCGTTACTGCATGTTACTGTTATTGTTACTGCTACTGTTACCGTTACCGTTACCATTACGATTTACGGTTGCCGTTATTGGTATTGTTACCGTTACCGTTACTGTGTTACTACTGGTGACAAACTGTTACTGCTGCCATTGTCAAACGTTACTTCAATTCTTGAACAAAGCAGCAAAAATTTAACAATAACAGTAACAGTAACGTAACACTAATGGTGAGAAGAGGGTGAGAGCGACGGTGATATGATGACACTACCACTGCTGTTATTGCTCGGCTTTGCACAGTGCAAGGCTGGTCATGTTCTGCGATCATGACGTTTTCAGGTAATGCCCTATAATTTTACACACACCTTTCTTTCTGGATCTGCTTCAAGGAAATATTGCCATAAATATTTACTGACAATATCCTGACACTCGTCACCAATAGCATCTGCTTTAGCTTGCTGAAGGTTATCATCAGGTGCGTATCCTGAAGAATTAATAAATTTAACCATAGTGCACATGTGCCATCGATAGTTCCAACACTCCGTAGTTAAGGTCGCTATGTCCCACAAGTCGTTTTGGTTTTGCGTAAAAAAGTGATTATTCCCGTGATTTTTGCCTATACCGGTTTTCTTCTAACGCAGTGGGATGCATTAACTCCATTGGGAAATACCTCTTTTATCTGCATGGAATCTTCACTGTCTAAGCGGAGTATCAATTAATGCTAGTGCCAAGTTTACTTGCGACGGACGTTTTTGGCTTGCGCAGAATTGTTAGGAAAATATTCCTGCGACACTCTTTGTAAAATGATGGACCTAAAAAAGTCTGTCGATTGTGGTATAGCTGTCGTAAATAACAGGTGGAATTGAAAATGGACCAATAGAAACCGGATTTACGTGAGTAAACATGAGGTTGTTGTCAACGGACATCTTACAGAAAGTAGCCAGTTCTTTGAAAAATGCAGAAGTTTCAATTTTTGGTAATCGTCATGTTTCGCGCACCAATATAGTAAACGTTGTGTAATGGGTATTATAGTGTACTGCAAAGTCAACTGGATACCTCCATATACATATATACACACCCTAACCCTATAACCCTAACTTTAAACCTAACCCTAACTCCTAACCCCTAACCTATATTAGCTCTCACCGCAAGTCCGCTGAAAATGCGTGCCTGCGATACTGGAAGAATATTTGCTGAATATGACCAGCGTGTACGAACTACGTAGCGAAATGCCAAAATAGACAATGGTAAAGTTATAGTGTTTATAAAAGTTTGCAATTGTCACCTAATTCTTTTCCAAGGTATCTCATTATTGCCATGCTTTGTGAAATAGGAGTTCCATCAATTTCTAGGACTGGCATTGTTCCAAATGCATATTTTGAGCAATCTGTAAAAAGACCAAAAGTTAGTAAAAGGCAATAGGCTGCCTTGGTTCATGTGATGACTGTACTAACTAAAAAGATTTCGAGATGAGCTTTGGATCTCCTGCGCATGCTATATACCAGTGATAACCACTGATCTGTACTACTTAGCGATATTAGATCATATTACTTGCATGTGACCTGTACGTAAAATAGGTATGCACAGGAGACTACTGTGCTTTGATACCAAGCAGTTGTACCATTAAACTAAACTAAACTAAACTAAACTAAACTAAACTAAACTAAACTAAACTATACTAAACTAAACTATAAACTAAACTATAAACTAAACTAAACTAAACTAAACTAAACTATAAACTAAACTAAACTAAACTAAACTAAACTAAACTATGAAATTCGGTTTTGTTTTATGTTTGATGAGTGTTTCACAACAGTCTGTTTCATCCGTATAGGAATCATATATATATATATATATATTAATTCCTATAATGTTAATTCCTATACGGATGAAACAGACTGTTGTCACATATTGCACCTACATAGTTAATTCCTATACGGATGAAACAGACTGTTGTGGTTTTTTGAAGGTAAAACGAAAAACTATATTACGCTCTATCTATATGGTATTGAGCACTGTTTGTGTTTCGTAAACCAAAATCTTAAGCTATATATATATATATATATATATATATATATATATATATATATATATATATATAATGCTCAGCCTCATCCAGTAATTACTTGTTGGGGTATACTCTGGCGAATATAGGTTTTCGGCACGCGTTCTCCAATTTCCAAACAATTTTCGTACGTTACAAAACGGAATACTTCATGTAAGCAACATATAGTTCTTAATAGTTCATGAATGAATTGAATAGCAACTGAGGTGACAATTCTTCTGTTTCTTCAATTGGCCATATGATTTTAGTGCCATCTAATTGTGCGTATTTCTATAGCCCCAGCGCGAGTTAACGCTCTATAGAGCGGTCTTTTTACTCAGTAACGGTTTGAGAGGCTTTCATTTGGTCTCTTTAGTAATATCTTTCATATTTATGCGATATATTTAGTTTATTTAGTAGACTTTCAACAATGTACTGGACTGGACAATATTAATCTAAGTGTTCCCAACAATCCTTTGAATATCTTGAAATGTTATATACTCTTATAGCCTAACATTTATTGCATTATACTGTATGCTAGCCGAAATATTACATTTGTTGCCAGAAGAATGAAAAATGTTCCAGGAATCTAGGGCAGATTTACATGTACTCAAGTAACTCAACCATGGATTTTTGCTCTATGTGAGTATCGTCACATATTGCACCTACATAGTTAATTAATAAGACATCATGGCACATGCACAAAATGGGAAGGGAAAGATGATCTACGTATACTAATTTATCATTACCTATCCCAAGAACCATTCTGCAGTTCATATATAAATAATTCACAATATACGGCAGTACCTTTCTTTGCTTTGGCCCACTCTTCAGATCCCCAATCATATGTGACTTCAGTATATTTAACCCCAGCTAACTTCAGTATAAACCTAATTGGTTCGCCGCGTGCACGAAGACTGAAATAATGAAGCTTGTATTCTGGCATATTTAGCAGTTAGTCGATAAATCTGAGTACTATCTGTGACTTGTGAGGTTATATAAGTAAAATAAATAAATATTCCGTAATCTTATATTTGGCTGAGCTATGTTCTTTATTTGGCTTCAATGACTCGTGACTAATAGGTGGATAAAAGAATGTTTTAAGTATCAGATAACTGTCAGGGGATGTCACCATAAGTATCTATGGATGTCACTCGATATAACCACGGTAACCTCTAGGCCAAACGAGAATGAGAGTTGATCAAGTTGGCAGTCACGTACTGTTACTGGGATATTTCAAGCTCTAGATTAACAAAATAAAGCTTCTGTGGTGTGAGTTCTAACTATGTTTTAACTGAAATACGATGGGCAGATAACGGACACGAAATTTCTTTTTCGAATCACAAATAAACCAATTCGTAGTGCCGAGTGCGCGCGTCCTACGTTGGGATACATAAAACAAATGTAAAACACAAATGGATGATTAAACAGTTGAATCATGCATATTTTCCCGTCTAAGCACGTGGTTCAGCTAGATGTATGTCATGATTCAACTGCAAATTTATTCCGAACAGATCGCGTCATTTGATGCGCAGTCCACATGCACTACCAATTCTTAGGGCCTGTTCATATGGAGGAAAGTTATCCCGCTTAGCGAGAAAACATTTCGACTAGCCACATAATTTTGTTGGAGGGGGTAGGCATGTCCCGATTGTGCTCGGCAACTTTTGAGCAACTTTTTGCGTTTGGAGCAACTTTTTTTCGGTTCGAGCAACTTCAAGCAACTTTCTCCTTTTTGAGCAATTTTTGAGCAACTAGCTTTTCACTCGAGTTCAAACTTTACAGTATGAAATGTTTACATGTGATAGACAACTTCATTTTCTTGCTTCTCCGAGCAAAGACCCTGGGTACGAGGTTGCTTCATTTTCTGTGATATTTTTCTATCTGATTTTAAAATTTTTTTATGACCTTTGTTTTGTTATTTGTAAAACTTTTGTAAAGAAAACGTTTTCTCTTCATAATTCCAAACAATTTATGCTTTTTAGAGTCTGAGCAACTTTTTTGTTTTAGAGAGCAACTTTTTGGGATTTTATGAGCACAATCCGGACATGCGTAGGGGGGGGGGGTGTCGGACGATTTTACCTGAAATTTGAATTTCAATGTTAAAAATTTGGCTAAAGTATAATAATTATAATAAAGGTTTTTGTGGTTGATTTGCACTATCATACTAAGTTTCTGGAGAAAAGGGGGGTCAGGGGGTCCTCCTCCAGAACATTACTACATTCTTGAAGCTCTAGGACTGCATTTCTGGCGTTTTCTAAAGCAAATTCGCAAACAAATTGGATGTAAATTGACTGTATTTTACAAAAATGGTTATCATTTCACAAAAATAATTATTTTGTTACGCAAATCATTTTACCTGAAAATGTCAAAAGTTTAACTTGAATTTTACCTGATTTTTGCTTGAGTTTCATGGTTGGGGGGGGGGGTTACCCCCCGGTCGCTACGTCCCTGGGTGAAATTCAACTCACGCAATTTGCAAAAATACATGCATCTGAATTTAGTAATTTAGTACGTCTGGTAATGCGAGGCGATGTATCCTCCATGGAAAATAGGGAATGTCCTGCAAACCCATCTTACAGGACCTGGAAAGGGCGCATTTCTATTATAATAATACGTCAATTTCTATTATAATTATATGGATAATATTTGGGTTGCTCGAATGACACAGCATTTATTTAATTGTTATTAATTATTTATTATATTCGTTCATTATAATAAGGTTCAATTCAACTACTGAAAGCTCGTATTTTTTTAAACCTGCACAGATTTTTTTTTAAAGTTGCACAAAGTGATTTAGAACTGCACATTTTGTGTAAACTGCACGTTAAAAAACCCTGCTATAACCAATAAAAGTCACCTACTTATATTTTATACTTAACTAACTATAAACTAGTGGTTAAAAAGTTGTTATGAATTTTATTTATTCAACGGCTGGTATGCTAGTAGACGAGTATTCGTATTCAAGTACAAACCTAAAGATACTTCATTCACGCACATGCGCGTGGGAGGTAGTCTGCTACTTGAACTTGTACCGTTCGTATTCATCGCTCTTTTCGTCTCTCGATTTTGCGTTGAAGAGAGATGCTATATAGGTGCATATATAAATTGGCCCAACTGAGTGGCCTTGTAGGTAACGCAAAATTTCCGATTATTTCAATGTGCATTGCCGTAAGACCACGATGGACGATTATTTAATAGAGTTGATGAGGGGGGGGGGGGGGATTTTTTCGGCCGTCTGAAAGCTTGTGCAGGAAGTTTTAGATAATTTTTTCTTGGTTTCCATTTTTGCACGACGTTTTTCTTCTTTTATTCTTCCTTCTTGATCCCCTCCTCGGCATAACTTTTAGCAAGGGTACGGCCCTTACACGGAGCTAATTTCCTGCAACTTGCAACACATTTTTCTTTGCTTTGCGATCATACTTTATTAACTTCGGAACTGAATTCTTACAGACACCTCCCTAATAGAGAGGCCTTTCCATACAGACAGTTTACCGACACAATTACCATGCGTATATTTTCTCTAACTGAAAATTATTTCTAATGGATAGTCTTGGATAGTTTGACATCATCGTAGTAGTCAGCATCCTTAAGACGAACAACTCAATTTCTAATACAGACACTTTGTCCAGTTAGGTGTCCGTTTCAAGCGCATCATTGCGAAAAAAAAGAAGCTGGTTCGTCTTTCTCTGCAACAGGCAACGCAAATTTTATTGCGATGCTAGTTGCAAACTGGAGGTGTTACCGTGTTACACGAGGCAATAACAGTTTGTAACCTCCAATGCAAACACTGCGATATACACAATGAACATAAACTGGATTCGTATACTCATATATTTTCTTTATTAATTAATAATAATGATAAATGAATTAATGAAAGTTGCTATATATTGACGCATATTATATAAATGAAAATAAAAGACTAAATTAATATTAACGTTTCATATTTTGGCATCTGGTCTTGTCTTGATGTGAGCAGCGATTCTTGGTTCCTTCGTTATACGCTCATACAAAGCACTTATTAATGGGTATCCATCAAATTCCTTGGGCACTGTGGGTTTCCCGAGTGCCAAGTAAACATTGAACAAACTAAAGAATCCAATGTCAGCGTACGTTATCTGGCAATGAAATAAAATATGAAATTATAGTGGAAGACGGAATATTCAATGCATGCATGCGAAACTCGTGTGTCAGGTTTTCTGCAATATCAGTACAACATTCTGATCATGCATGAAAGGTGCAATAAATACTTCCAGTTTGCAATGGACTTTACGAAGAACCTCTGTTTTACCATAGTTTCTCGTGGAGAGGAAATGTTGTTGACTTTTGTCTTCTTCTCTCCTATATGATCAGCGGAAAGCTCAGCGAAGGAAAGAGCCGTCGGGTACAATACCCAGAACTACATATATAGCTACGCATTTCTTTCTGAAGTAACATCAATGAACCTGCATTGCGAGGTGGCCCTTTTAGGACCTCTACTCTAGAGCATTTAGGACCTCTACTCTAGAGCATGTTAAGCATATACCCCCTCCCCCCCTTTTAACTTTACGTGCAATTTGTATCGCAATTATTAAAAACACGCAGTTGTAAATAAAATTCCAGAAAATTGCAATAAATAGAACACCGTTATACAGAACGAGCATCAGAACATTCATACCTTGTCTCCAACAAAATATTCTGTGCCATTACGTTTCAAAATTGCTTCAAAATTTTTCATTGCTGCAGGTAATTTGTTTTCAAACCAATTCTTTCTTTGTTTCTCCTATAACATAATATATTTTGGTTACTAAATACTAATAAACTGCACTATTAACTTTATTGCTCTATTTTTCCAAGAGCCTTGTTCTCAAGAGCATGGCTATTAATATCCTTATGTTTTGTGCACAGTACTCAGTAGGCTTATGATTTGCATAATTGCATGGGCTTAAGATAAAAAAGGTTTACATTCGTCACGAATCACGGGGTGTCACGTGTACCTGCCATGCCAAAACAGGTAAACATGCATGGAAACGACGCCATGGGGGGCAAAAATGGAATGGACTGTAAAATCTATTGCAACAAGTCTCTTAAAATAGTTTTATAGTAATAAACAATTTAAGATAATCTTATACCTTTCTCTCAGGATCTTGTTCAGTAAAATATAGCCAGATAAATTGATCAATTAAATCCTGACATTGATCTACTATGGCATCTGCCTGAGCTTGTTCCAGATTGCTGCTTGGTGCATAACCTATATAAAACCATAATAAAACGTAAAGAAGCAGTTCTTTATTGCAGATGTCAGCTGGGTTATTTTTCAGTGGTTATATAAAAAAAGTTGCGCAAACACACGGAATATCCGCAAGTAAAAACAAAATTTTTAGTTTATGAAAATGACAATATATTATAGAAAATATGAATATAATACCGTGTTCTTTTCCTAAATATCTCATAATCGCCATGGACTGTGCTATAGGGGTTCCATCAACCTCCAACACTGGCAGTTGATTAAATGGATATTTTGTATTATCTGAATAAAGACAGAACATATATATTTAAATTACGTTACTACAAAAGTTGCTTACCCCATTTGTTTTAATGACGTCATAAGTCTTATCAAAGAATAAATCCCTTACTCAAATACAAATCATAGCATATGATTTAACTGACTTTTTACCTCTATCTAAAAGCGTCTTTCCTTTTTTTCCAGGGGGGGACTTAACTTAAGCAAGGCTTAATCACACACATTTTACAAGGCCGTCGAAAGCGGGCGGGGCCTCGAGGCACCCGCCCCCC